TCTTCATTGCCATCTTCGTACTGTTTTTTCAATAGTGATACTAACGAAACACGACTACCACTATTTTCCATTTATGTATTTTTTGGTACAATTCTGCCATTCACGCTTGGGTCTCTCTATAGTTATATACATTATGTTGAAGTTAATGAAAATATTGATGGATCAAACAGGTTCTGTCCCATTTGTTATTCAATAAACAAAGAGATTTCCATGCACGACTACTAAATCTAATCATCCCTTATTATCATTAAGAGGATGGTTTCTGTTTGTTCATATATAAACTTGAGCATACCAAACTCTCACGCATTGACTTTCCGAATTCCGACATGGGCTAAAGGATCCAAGGCACATTTCTTCACTTTCAAGGGCTTTGTTCTGATGATTGTGTCATGCATGTTCTGTTATAGAGGAAGAAGATGAGAAGTATCTTCACTAAGAACCAACATTTTCTGCAGATCCGTCATTTTTTTTTCCTGATGAATCTAATGAGTAATGGACCTAGAAACATGCGTAACCGAGGGAATTGATTTTATTATGAAACATTTACCATAGAGCATTAAATAATTTCATTTAAAATTTTATAACTATTGCAATAAAATTATGTTTTTAATTAAATATTTGGGGACTTATGACCCATTAATATATAATTGGGTCCACTGCCCTGAAACATTAACTGCATGAGTTGTTCTTGCTTTCTCTTTAATTTATTGCGGTGAAAAATTCAATCATATCTTCAAAACAGTTACAATATATATATATATATATATATATATATATATATTTTTTATGCCATGTTGAAATCTCACAATGCTTGAAGCAAAGCAGATGGTGTCTAGTGTTCTAGATTCACCTTATTCATTTATTCTTTTTTTTCTTATTACATCATTACAATAACCACTTACATAACACACGTAGGTTTTTTTTTAAACACATATTGATGTAAGAAAGATCACGAGCCACTTTCTGTTCATACTTAGAGCTGAAAGGCCAAGTCGTATATGTCCCCGGGCTTCCATTTGTACGGAATAATATCAGTGGCTTCCTTCCATCCAGCCTTATCAACCAAGAACCTCACTGTCAAGGCTCCTTTCGGCGGGTTTGGCAAGTCGAAAACCGCACCATAAGCTCTCCTCATCTCTATCCACTCTCCCCAATCGTCCTATACACATAAAATATCATATCCAACCATATATATATAATCCACATATTTACGATCTCATTTGCTCTAAAATATACAACAAGCACCTTGATTTCGAGGGCTAGGATGTCGTTAGCACCACCGACGTTGAGAAGAACGAGGGAAAGGTAGTCATGGAAGCGACTATTCTCGTGAACCTTGAGGAGAATGTTCGTTGGGAACTGGCAAGGGACCCTCTTGTACACGATATCGACCACACCATAGGAAATGACTTCCTTCTCAGCTCCGGGACAAGCGAGTTTCTTGAAAGCCTGTTTGTTCATTATGAAATCGGTACGATCTCCTTCTCCATAGTCGGAGACTGAAACGACCACACTGTTGCAGCACCATGGATTCGTACATTTCACCTGTAATGTTAATGAGAAGTATATAAGCACCATGGATGAAATCCTATAGGTTACTGTTTAAGTATAAATGCAAATTCGTTTAGTGTTGAGTAGATCTGTATGTTAGCGTTGATGTTAAGTATAAGTATAACAGATGGAAACCCTAGCTATGTTAGGAACAGTAGATGAAAACCCTAGGTTAAAACCCAGATTTTTATGCTAAGTATATGAACCTGATAACAAGCTCCGCAGCCAGCTCCATTGCGCCAAAGCTTTGAGACAGCGGCCACTTTGGCACCGTTCATATTCCTCCCGAATTCCCCATAACCACAAGCTCCACCTACATATAACAAAAAATGAAATATATAAACGTATATATGTATATATATATATATATATATGCGTAAATCATGCATTCTACGTATAGTATTTGGATCAATCCGTAGAAACCCTGAAGAAAAGATAGCGAGAGAAAAGAATGGAAAGACACAATCATGTGAATGTTTGATAGATACAAGACAAAGAAAACATATATGCGAACTTACTTGTTGTCCCTTTCCCATCGGGAGTGCCATAGTAAGCAGCCCTCGAAGGTGTGAAGCCGCCGCCATGGGAGGAGTGACACATCACAACAGGCAACACAACACAGACAAGGAGGAAATAAAACGTCTTCATATTGATGACTATAACTTATTATAATTTATATTCCCTTATCTTATAATACTGATATTCCTTACGCTTAATGTTTACTAATGGAGGGGTGAGATGTGTGAGGGAAGTGATACCATATTTATAGTGGAAGCCCCCTTGTAATAATATGATTAGGAAATTGCCTGCTGATTCCATTTTCGATTAAATTGATGGATTTTGATAGTTGGGCAAAGGAATTCTTTTTTTGATGGGTTTTGATTATCAAGAAGAAGATGGGATTTGACGGTCCACGTTTGCAAGTCAATGCCTATCTACTTCGTAATCATTTCCCCTTGATTTCCTTGTATAAAATGTCATAGTTTTAGGGTGTAAATTTAGGTCCGATTATAATATTTGAATCGATTTCGGTTTAAAATTTGATGCACGACTTTTCATAATTTAAATGGTTACATTTTGAATATTAAGAATAATGAAAAACAAAACTTTTTATATAGAAAATGAACATCTTTTTAATAGAAAACTGCAATTCATATATATAGCTCGAACTGTTATAACAGCTGAATTAATATAATTTTGTATAAAATTTTAAAAAACTAAATCTGAAATTAAGAAACTGGAACGCATGGAAATCCTAAAATAGGCACCCTTAACTACAAGTAGAGTTTGAATTCCAAAGATTCTTCATATAATATATTGTTTTCGACTAGACTGTGGACTATGGCATATATACATTACATATACATAGAAATACTTTTTGATAAAGTACATAGAAATACTTACCAAGAAAAGGAAAAATAAATATTATTTGAACCATAAGTTTGGACCAAAACACTTGTTTTTCATGGCTGTTTGAAACACAGCTCTCGGGTTTGGTCTTAATTAATATTCCAACTCCCATTTCTTTAATTTCTTTATTTATAAAATCTCGATTATTGCACTACTGATAATAATAATTAAAAAATAATATCACCCGAAAATTTATTTGGAGAATTTCTCATTGTACCGACGTGGTAACATGCAATCCACTCCATATCGTAAAAATTCTATATACGCATTATTTACTTTTTATGGGTACAGTTTGTCGCGACATTAACATATTTTATAGGGATGTGAATTTAGCGCAGAGCCCGAAACCCAGTCTGGATCCACCCGAAAATTATAAGGACATAGACCTAAAAAATGTAGGCTCATTAAACTTCGGGCTTTCGGGCCTCGGGCCAAATGGGCTACGGGCCGGTCGGATCGGACCAGTCGGGTCTCGGGCCGAGCTTGAGGCCCGTTAATTTTTTTTGTTTTTTCTAACCTTCTTTTCTAAACCAAAGTTTTACCTCTCTATACTTATAAATATGTGTGACTAAATATATATATATGAACCAAAAGATGAACTTTTATATCTTGATTCCAATTAAACTTTTTAAAGTGACGAGAGTTTTGAATTTCTTAACCATATTACATCATATATATATAAGTTTACATTTTAGAAATGATAGAAGTTTTCAAATATATATATTTTTAAACCTTTGTTTGTATATGAACATATTGATTTTTTCTATAGGTTTTAAATTAATTACATCATAAAATTTCTTTTTATATTATGTTTGTTATTTTTTTATCACGTTTAAAAGTTTTTAATCACATGTTGTGGTGTTGGAGAATTGAACAATTGGATAATTTTTTCAATTTTATTTTTATTTATGAACTAAATGACTTTGTTGTTATCGGTTTTAAAAATATTTTTGTTGAATGTTTCATAATAATAATAATAATAATATTATTATTATTATTATTATTATCGCAAAAAAATATTTTTATTTAATAAAAAACCCGAAGCCCCGCCCGAACCCGCCCGAAGTCCTGTAGGGTCGGACTCCGGGCCATCGATCCTATATCCGAAAAATAAATGGGCGGGCTGGCCCGGCCCGAAAAATTCTAGGCCCGAATTAAACCCGGCCCGAACCCGATCCGACCCGCCCATTTTACACCCCTAATATTTTATTAACAAAAAACATATTGTGACCATAACGCCTAAGAATTTTAAAATATTCTTAACAATTAACATAATGTTGGCCCATAAAAAAATATTCATCAGATTTTTCTTGAATTGTTTTTTAATTATTGCAGTGAATACTTTCTATAATCAATACGAGAAGAACAAGGTGAATAAAACAAAGTTTTTTTTGGGAAAAAAAACAAAGTTTTCTTTAAATAAATTTTTTTGAGCGAAGGCAGAGATGACAATTTCGGGTTCCGGTTAGAAATCGGTTCGATTATATTCAGGTTCGGTTATTTTGGTTATAGAAAATTACAACTATTCAGTTTTTATATAAACTTCGGTTTGGTTCGATTTGGTCATTTTCGCTTCGGTTTCAGTAAAAAAAATCATTTTTTTTAAAAAAAATTGTCATTTTTTCCGGTTATTTCTTTATTCGATTCAGTTTTTATTTTTTTGGATTTAAAGATTATAACCATTTGATTTTGATATTTGGTTCAGTTCGGATATGGTTGTTTTAGGTTTGGTTCGGTAATAGATTAATAACCGGTTAGTTTATGGGTCATGGAGATATGTAGACTTCAGAGGGATCCAATTTTGATAGGCCCATTAGGCCCAACAAAATCAATGGGCCCAAGCAAAAAGTACGAAAGCCCGTCCTCGGTTTGGGATCTAAATAAATTTATGGGGTCATATTGGAAAGTTTAAAAAGATTTGGGAGTTAAAAAATAACCAATAAAAAAAAGGGAAAAATAGTTCCCCGCTTGCTTCGAAAAATTCATTTCCCTCCCAACGTCTTCCTTTTCCCCCTTTATTTAATAGTAACTCAATTTTTTTTTCCAGAAATAATTCGTCTCTTCGTCATTTGTACACTCTCCCCCTCTCGCCGTCGAAGATGAGCTCCCGTGGTAAGAAGATCAAGCGGGCGGAACCCGACCCGGATCCGAGCCTCGTCGGACCACCCATCTCCGCCACTGAAGCAATCGAGAGATGGCCGTTCCGCTACAGATATTCAAAGTCGATGAAACTGGGTGCGGTGGACATTCCGACGCGCAGGTAATTTGTTGTCTCTGTTCTTTGTAATCGTTTCTGCTCTAAGTTCGGAGCTTCATGTTTGATTATTATATATTGGGTCTACCACAGTTTCGATTCTAATTCAATGTATGCCCTCGTGATGTCGATTCTGATACAGAGGTTTGGAGGGAGAGAAGGATATGATGCAAGCTAAGCATCACTATTTACAAGCCAAGGTCGACGGAGTTCTGTTCAATCTAGACGATGATGCTTATGTCCAAGTATGTCTATGACTGTGAGAAAGTGAAGTTAGCTCTTTTTTTTTTAGTTTCAGTTCCAGAATGTTTTCAACATTTTTGGGTGTAGCTTCCTTTTTTGTATGGGTAGTTTACGTTCAAAGTTATCGTGTGCTCGTGTTTTGATTCGGAATCTCGAGCTGCTTTAGCTTTTGAAATCTTCATACAGAGATGTTATGTCGTTATATTCAATCATTTAGCTTAGCCCTTGCTCGAATGTTACCTGTATACTGGAATTGATGTTTATTTCTTAGTTGCTCAAATTTTATGAGAAAGAACCTCTTGATTGTGTTTGTGAAAACCACATTCTCTATGCTGAGCGTTTTGACATTATTTTTGTTACACATGGTAATATCTTAATTGGAAGTTTGAGCTTTTGTGTGCTTGTGATGCAATTCTATGTTTTCAAGATATTAATGTCGACGGCTGTGTATGTGTTTCCATGCAGGCTGAGGATGGAAAGCCAGATTATATAGCTAAGATCCTTGAATTTTTCGAAGGATTAGATGGGGAACCATACTTCCGAGCTCAGTGGTTTTACAGACCTGAAGATACTGTGAGAGATCACATTCAAATTTACTGAGTTTTTCTGTAGCAGATGTCTTTTTTCCTAGCTTGCTGAATTTTCCTTCTATGATATTTGATTATTTTCTAGGTAATCAAGAACCATGCATATCTTGTGCAAGAAAAAAGAGTATTTCTTTCTGATGTGAAGGATGACAATCCCCTTAATTGCATTGTTTCCAAAGTAAAGATCGTTAAAGTTCCACCAAAGGTACAAAAACTTTTTCTTAATTGGTATGGAAGGGGAAATGTGATAATTTTAGCTTCTTATGAATGTGTTTGTTGAGATTTGAAAAGAACTTTTCTTATAACAGCTTGCTTCAGAAACTGAGAGCGTCATTCCACCGTGTGATCTTTACTACGACATGAAGTATCATTTGTCCCACTTGACATTTTCAAGTGCAGATAATGGTAAATCAGCTTGAACTTGGTCCTGGTTAAGATGTTTATATCCATTCATCTACACATTTGCTGTCTATTATTATTTAATCTTTTCCACTGTTTGCATCTTAATCGACTCTGCTTATAATGCTCCAAGACAATTGATGGTTTGCATCTTTCCAGAAAGCTCCAATGTCGAGAGTGATGCATCATCAACTGTTTCAAGTGAAACTGGTTCAAACTGCATTGGTGATTCCTACAAGGGTGGAAAATTTTTACTGGATTTATATTCTGGATGTGGAGCAATGTCAACTGGACTGTGCATGGGTGCTTCTTTGTCAGGCTTAAACCTGATTACAGTAAGCATCTTGTCAAGAATACTCATGTTTAGATTGTTGGTATCATAATATCTCTTCCTTATAAGGGTGTAGTGCAAGAAATATTTCTTAACCATTCCTCATATTGCAGAAATGGGCAGTAGATATCAACAGTTTTGCTTGCGAGAGTTTGAAACTTAATCACCCTGAAACTGAGGTAAATCTCTTGATGGTGATATCATCATTGCAAGTCAGGAAAACTGATTAGATGTCTATTGTTCGAATAAATATCCTCTTGTGTATTCTTTCATTTTGGACAATGATCAGGTAAGAAATGAAGCTGCAGAAGACTTCCTGTCTTTGCTGAAGAAATGGAGAAGGCTGTGCCAAAAATTTTCGCTTGTCATAGCTAATGAGCCAATAGAATCAGATAATGACTCGGAAGATGAGGAAGAGGATGAAGATGAAACAGAGGGAGATGATGATGGATCTGAAGTTCCCACTGGAGAGTTTGAAGTAGGAAAGCTGTTAGAAATTTGCCATGGGGATCCCAATGGAGTAAATGCATCTGGACTCTATTTTAAGGTACAATTTCCTATGCTACTTAAATCAACATCGCATTAATCTCAAGTTTATTTGGGTTCATCCGCATGAATTCTTCGTTTTTACTCATTTCGGTTTTGAGTAGCTCTTCTGAAATTTGTAACAATTTCAAATCATTCTTAATGATTCGGTCCCAAGCAAGCCTATGTTTATTCCTTCCTTTTCTCTTCACTCCATTCTTATGCTCTCCACTTTTTAAATTGGAGCATCTATCGGCCTACATACATTTTCAAATCATTTTAAATATCCATCTCATAACTTCTTTTCTATCCCTATTACTCCTATTTGCTCTCCAATAGTCTCATTTCTAATTTTATCTATCTTTGTATGTTTGTACATTCATCGCAACATCTTCATCTCGACTATGCTCATTTTGGACATATGTTGTCTTTTCACTCAACATTTGCTACCATACATCAATGCGGGTCTTATGCTGGTAGAGTTTTCTTTTCAATTGTAAGAAAACTTTATTATCGCAAAGAACCCCAGTGACTTGTCTTCATTTCATCCATCCCATTTTTATCATGTGACTAACATTTTTATCGCAACCTCAATTCTTTTGAAGGGTTGAACTAAGATATTTAAAATGTAGGTTTTGAGGTATTAATCCTCCTTTCAAGTTTAACTCCTACATCACTAGAACGCTTCTTACTAAAATCACAATACATATACTCTATCTTTGTTCTACTGAATGAACCTAAAATCCTTAGCCTCTATAGTATTCCTCCATAAATCTAATTGTCCATTTACTTTTTCTCTAGACTCATTTATTAGAACGATATCATCCGCAAACATCATGCACCACGATACTTCTTTTTGTATATCTTTAGTCAATTCATCTATGACTAATGAGAAGATGTATGAGCTTAAATGGTCATAGATAAAATCGTAATATACTAACAGCAGCAAGAAAATCTCAGGTGCGTTGGAAGGGTTATGGTCCAGAAGAAGATACTTGGGAGCCTTATGATGGACTAAGGTAATTTCTTTTCACTTTTGTTCTCCTTGTTCTTCCTTATGTTATTTTTGTGTGGAGATTAATAGATAAAATAACTTGTGCATTTGCTCCTTTTTTTTTTCCAGAAAATGCACGAAGAAGTTGAAAGAGTTTGTGACAACAGGGTTCAAGTCAAACATTTTGCCCCTTCCAGTTAGTCACTTAACTTTTTTTAACATTATATTTTATCTGTTAGAAAAAGAGAAGTTACTTTGAGCATTAGCTACTGTAAGTATCAGAAAGAGTGATAGCTATTGTTCTTTGCTCACATATTGCCTTCTCCAACATATTTACCACATTGTTTCCGGTGATTTTTACTTTCTGACAGCCATTTGGTGCAAATTTATCAAATGAGATAATTATACCATTCGAAGAATATTTACCATAGCCTTACATAGAATTACCCCCAGTGAAATCCTGTTTGTGCAGCATTCACCTTTTGAATGACTTTTGAGCCTTGACATTCTTTTCTCTTTCAGGGAGACGCTTATTTTATATGTGGGGGTCCTCCATGTCAAGGTGTTAGTGGCTTCAACCGTTTTAGAAACAAGAAGGCTCCATTGGAAGATGTGAAAAACCGTCAATTGTTGGTTTATATGGATATAATTGACTACCTGAAGCCGAAGTATGTTCTAATGGAGAACGTCGTTGATATTCTGAAGTTCTCCGAAGGGTTTTTAGGTCGTTATGCTGTTGGCCGTCTTGTTTCCATGAACTATCAAACAAGATTAGGCATGATGGCTGCAGGTTCTTATGGTCTTCCTCAATTTAGGATGAGGGTCTTCTTATGGGGTGCTCAACCAACAGAGGTATAGCTGTTTTTACATCCTAGTACCAACATATTGTCGAAGGAGACATGGAATTCTGACGTCATTCCTTCATCTTTTGATTACAGAAACTGCCTCCATATCCTTTGCCAACTCATGAGGTTCTCTCTAGAAGCAACACTCCTACAGAATTTGAGGCAAGCCAGTTTTGCTGAACTCTGTAGCTTTACATGTGGTAGTACTATGTAGTACGTAGCTTATTCATTTGCTGTGAACGCAGGAATTAGTAGTCGGACATGACAAAAAGTATCTCCTACAGTTGGAAAAGGCTCTTACTCTTGCAGATGCAATAAAGGATCTCCCTCCGGTATGCATTTCTCCGAATGCAAAACTAAAACATTTCATAGGTTATTAAGTGATTTCATTGAATATGCAGTTTTCTAGATTTTTGGATATAAGCATGCATTAATGTTTAATAATAATAGTTCCTTATCTAGTTCCCTTTATGTCACAGGCAACAAATATTGAGAACAAAGATAAGAAAGAGTATGGAACAAAAAGTCCTGTAACAGAGTTCCAGAAATATATCAGACTTGATCGAGCTGGTGAGCCTCTTACACGGCATTACCACCAGATCCCTGTTGTTTGCTGGTATGATGTGTATATTAGAATCTTAAATATAACCAACATTTCTTGTTTTAGAGACGATAATCCACACAGAGAATGAATGCACATGGCAATCTCAAATGCTCTATGACCACCAGCCTCTGCAACTAAACGATGATGACTTCGAGAGGGTTTGCCAAATTCCAAAGAAGAAGGTACACTATCCATGGGTTATTATATCATAGTAGTTAATCCTGTACTTATTCCATAATGGTTACTTATTCAATAATGATTACAGGGTGCCAACTTCAGGGACTTGCCTGGTGTACTAGTTGAGAATAACAGAGTGAAGTGGGATCCTTCTGTTGAGAGAGTTTATCTAAAGTCTGGGAAACCTTTGGTAAAGTTGAAAACATTGCTAACTTAGTAACTTAGGAAATTATCAATCATTATGTGTTCGAGTTTCTTTACAATGTTAGCTTATCTGTTTCTTCAGGTTCCTGAGTATGCAATGACATTTGTCCATGGAAGATCCACAAAGTAAACATTTAGCTGATCTTACATTTATTTAACTTTGTAACAATGAAATTCACTAAAAGTTTTCATCTGGTTATTTAACTTTCAGGCCATTCGGTCGTTTGTGGTGGGATGAGGTTGTAAACACGGTGGTGACAAGAGCAGAGCCTCACAACCAGGTTTTTTTCTTTTTCATAAATATACATTCCATTTCCCATTTGATGTGTTTGTATATATCTAAGAGGGTCTTCTGAAATGATTAACCATCGTGATATCGGGTTTTGACAGTGCATACTCCACCCATTACAAGATCGAGTGCTAACAGTCCGTGAAAATGCAAGACTACAAGGGTTTCCAGACTTTTATAAGCTCTGTGGCTCCATTAAAGAAAAGTGAGTACCATGAATCTTGTTTCGCATGTTTCTGAATCTGTCTTTTATAAGTATTATCTGTTGGAGTTTTGTAGTTCTGATATAAAAACACCTTCCAGGTACATTCAGGTGGGGAATGCAGTTGCGGTTCCTGTAGGAACTGCATTAGGATATGCACTCGGGATGGCGAGTCAAGGCTTGTGTGATGATCAGCCTGTGATACAGCTCCCTTTTAAGTACCCAAAATGTCTCAAGAGAGTTGTTAAGCTTGAAGATGATTCTGACTAAGGGAAGAAGAGGAAATGCCGAATACCCACATCATTGTTTCACTTCATTTATAGAACACACTTAAGCAGAGGACTGTATAATGAGCTGTACCACTATTGTGCGCATTCATTCATGTGCCGAATCCTCCTTGCCCTAAGTTTATTTGCAGTGGTGAAGTTATTGGTTGCTGCTAATATGGAGCATTTAGAGTTTTGGAGCATTTTTCGGATTTATACAGCTACTACTAGAAACATGAGATGTATCAAATGTAATTCATGTTATCTATATGTTCTATTAATTCAACTAAGTTTAAATGAACATCCTCTCCTCTCCATCATTTTTGCAGAATTATCAAAGCTTAAAGACGTAAATAAGAAATTGGGTTCCCATGTTTTTCTTTCGTTTTTGTCGTAAGGAAGAATTCTGCAAAGATACATAAGCCTTCATCATAGTCAGTCATCATCACCAAAGCCAAAAGGTTTTGGATTAAACACCAAAGGGACACCAATACCACAACACCCATAAGCATTTATCCACTGCAGTGAATTTCATTGACCAAATTTAGGACAACAAAAACCTGAAGAACACCATCTATGTGCCATTGTTGTAATGTTTGAGGAACTTCATCAAAACATTACTACAAAATGTGTCTGAAAAACCAGAAACCTCATGTAGAAGCCACAACAAGCTCAGCCTTCTTATCCTCCAAAGCCTTGAGCTCCTGTCTCCAGTCCTCTAATTTAGAAAATTTCTCTAATTGCTCGGGTTTCAGATCTTGGGGTGCTGTCTTCTGTTGTTGAGCTTCTGTTAGCCGTATCTGCAAAAGTAAAACCGAGGTTACATTAACCACGTGTCTGCAAGTTTATGATTAACTTTGAGTCCAAACAGCACGAATTTCAGACCGACAACAATATAAATATACTTAGTTGATCCATTTACATTCAAACTAATCAATGTTACACCTAGAATCTGCGACTGCTCTTTCTTCGAAGCAAAAAGTTTTGTTCAGGATCTTACTTTTAATCGTAGTTGGAATAACGTATTTTCTTTTGGTTTAAGGCATCGAAAAGCATGGAAATATTACCTTCTTCTTAAGGGCGCGTATTCTTTTATCGATATCTTCTCCTGGTGTTCCAGAATCAGGTGCTTCTCCCTGATTCAAGGTTGGTAATGGTACTGCATGACTTGAAGAAACAGCCAAACGTTCCAGCTCTGAAGCTAACGAAATCACTGATTGTGATCCATTAGTTGCCATTTCTTCCATGCTTACACTACCAGCTGGTCCTTCCTCAGGGTTTGCATCTTTCTCTGAAGCAGCCTGTGGCAGGTTATTTGGTAACATGTTCCACAAGATATGAACTAAAGACGAAGCAACTGGCACCTGAAGGAAAAGTTGAAACAGAGTTAAACACAAACCTGCAATCTCTTCTCTTTTTTACGTTCATTCCTTTTAGCAGCTTTAGTCTTTGGTTTAGGAGCTGAATCAGGTTCAGGTTCATAACCAGGTGGCCCCTGTGAGGCTATCTCCTTCTTCCACTATTCCATCATAAAGATATCACAGAGAAATCACAGATTAAGTGAATAATCCGGGTAATAATAAAGAATGATGACCCGATTTCAAGAACTTGTAAAGGGTTTTTGACAAGAACATACGACGGACGAGTTTGGGGGAAGAAAGGGTTTCATACCAAAGCGCCTTTGGACTTATAAATGGCAACTTCATCCTGGGGAACATAGCCAGCTCGGATCCGGATAGGTTTTCGGAGTGTACCATCCGGTCTACGGGTAGGTGCCAGAATTCTCTCACCTTCTTTCAGATTTCTGCTCAGTTCATCCATTTGCTTCAACTGTTCTTCACTTCTGTTGCTGCTTCCCATCTGATTCTTTCCACAATGCCTGTTTTGCTTTCAAAATCAACTCTGCAGCTCCTCCTATTTTTCAACTATCAAACACATACAGGTTTCACATTTTGTATTTCCAAAGTTTCTCAAAGAACATCCAAGTAATAAATTATAACATAAATCCAATTCACCCGTAGTTTTCTTTGATATTGCAACCCAACCAGAGATTGAGATTTCTCGACGACAGAACCGGAGATGTCTGACGAATTTTTCCGACAGAAATAAGCGGAGATACGCTTCAAAACCCTAAACCTACACGA